ATTTCCAAGATTAAATTGACAATTGAAGATTGATGAATATTTGATCATCAAAAGTATTCTTATCATATTATAATATATTGAATCTAATAATATAATATTTCAGTTGTTATCATTATCATCCTTTTGTGTGTCACAATATTATATGTGTTCCTCATGATAATATAATAATAATAATAACAACATCACCACCAGTAAGAATATCATCTAACCCACTTCCATTATAATGGTTATATTGTCATATTCAAATTGATTTTTAAATTCGATAAAAAAAAGAGAAAAGAGAACTTAAATTTTCACGAATTTCCCACCATTCTCCCTGATATCAGATAATATAAATGCACTTACAAAATCATTCAACTGAAAATAAACATGATTATCATGATTATTTACATCAAATTGAGTATTCAGTAATAGTCTCTTCAGAATTTCTGGTAGTTTTTTCCTTCAAAATTCGCAGCATTTTCAGAATCAACTTTATTTTCACTCAAAACTCAGAACTTTTCTCTCTCTCTCTCTCTTTCTCTTTCTTTTAAATGGTCGATAGTGAGAGTAATATAAAGGTTTCATCTTGTTATTTAATTTCTTTTTAAACCGACATCGATTTTAGAAAATTTCCACTTGGGCGAGTATTCTTGCTTTTAGAACTTTTTTCATGATAAATTTCCGATAAAAAAACTTTGAACTTCTGGATAACCAGGATCATCTTACTGTCAAAGATTTTATATCTAAATCACCATTTGGAGAGTACAAAAGGTTAAAATAGCGATTTAAAAATACGAAGTTCAATATTTTCCATGTTATGAATAGTCGATCATGAATATCCAGAATCTTGAGAATTTTTATTCCTGAAAGTGAAAGTCAAGTTAAATGTCAAATTGAAAGTTGAGTTTATCAAGATAATGTTAACAATTTAAATTGTTAACGATTATTATTTGACAGGGAGTGAAAAATGTCGATAGTAAAAGTTGTTTATTTCGTTCAATTGGTGAAAAGTTATCAAGGAAAATTTTTTATTCTGACAACTTACTTTTCTATTTCATCATGTTTTTTTTCATCATGAGCTACTCTTGACATCCCATTGACAACATTATGTAACTACAACAATATAACATCAATTGTATCATGATTATCAACGTGTAACCTTTTATTTCATGGTAACAACTTTGTTTGACAATTTTTCAGTTTAAGATTCAATTTAATCTCAAAACCTTTAAGGTTTGAAAAACTTAAAGCTATTCTGTTTATTGAAATAGTAATATTTTTTTCATATAAATATCATGAGACATTTCAGTTGACTGAAACTTTTTCATTATCTTTTTTTTCATGTCATCATCATTTTCAACTGTTCATTTGCCCTTAGGCTCTTTTACCATCAATGTTATTTTATTATTCATTCTTCAACCTGATCGATATCCCAGTTTACCTGGGAAATCATTTCCATCATTATTTACTCTTGCAGGGAATTGATCATGATGATCATCATGAAGATGATTAAAGTGAATCTACAATTAATATCATTATAATAGATTAAATTTCTTTCCAAGTTCTCATTTCATTCTCATCATTTGATTAACCCTAAATTACAGAGTGATCACGAATTAATATGATGAGTTTGATATCTTTTTCTATTAAGGTGAGAAACTCGATGATATTTTCATGTAATGATCGTTAATTTACCGATAGAATTGAACAATTGAGATTTCAAGACAATTTTTCTAATTTTCGAAATCTGATCATCTATGAAAATGGAAAGTTCTATGTTATTAATTGCGACGATTCCCCACCTGAGAACTCATTATGAACATAAAGTTTCATTCTTATTTCAAAGAGCACTCGGCTAATACCTATGGTGATATTATATAATAATTCACCATAAGTACTGAATGATTTAATTGTAGAATGATATTTTCAATAGTGATATATTTGAATCGAGTATCAACCCGATTAAACTCACAATTGTCAGTTGAATCTGAGCCTGAATTTTCAATTGGACAAATAAAAAGTTTATTAACAGTTAAGTAAACACAATTTTAATTAATTGTCCCGAATAATTTGTGAACACACTGTACCAATAATCAAATACCAGTAGACTTTCAATTATATGAACTGTTTAACTCTTTAATTACTGGGTTAACAATTCAATCAATTCACTGATTTATATTAAATTCAATTATCATGGTGGTTGATTATTCACTGATCATGTGATTCTGATGATCTACTCAATGAAAAAAAAATGAATAACAACTAATGGTAGTAAATTTTTCATTTCTTTTCCTGAATTGTTTCCCAATCTTTATGATTTATATTCCGATGAAAAATCAATCGTTTCATGATGAATATTCATTCATCTTTCGCAACCATTTGTTATAAATACACACCAAAGCTTTATCTCAATCGCTTTTATTAGTTGGTGGTTATTTGGATTTTGGAAGATGAACTTTTTTCAGAGTATTCAAAATCCAAGTTCTTAAAAAAAACTTCATTCAGCCAAAATGGATAAAAGTTGTTCCCTGACTGAACTTTTGCTCAAAACTGTTGCTTGGGAATCTTCATGCTTAAGGTTAATAAGCAGCTTTGACAATGATATAAACTTGAAGATTTAGGAAGTTGATGGTGATAATCATGATACTCAGGGTAATAAAAGTAAATCAATGTTATTCTAATGAAGATTAGTCTGTGATTTCTATTTATATTGAATCTTTAATTGTGTGTTGAGAATTTGTCAACAACTAGAACCATGGTAACTACTTAAGTATCTATATAAGGTTTCATCTGAATCCTCATTTTCTCAGGAAATATATATCTCTCTCTTTCTCTCTCTCTCTCTCTAGTTACTAATTTATTCAATTCCCTCATGAAATGTTTTATTTAACTATTACTCTTGAGTCATAATAAACTTTCATATATGAAACAACCATTTTGAATGAGTATTTTGTCACCTCAAAGATTAATATGAATATACTGAGTCAATTTCATGAGTGCTCGTGTCTTGGGAGATATTTTCAGGTGAAAATCGTGTTTCATGGGAAAGTTTAACATCTTAGTTATTATTCAAATATATGCAAGTCAATTCATCGTTTTTTTTCTGGATGAATGTTATACTTTCAGGGAGGAAAAATCTGGTTTCATTATATTAGTATTCATGTTTTTTTTGTCCACCATGAATCCATAAATTACCTTACATCTATTTCGAAATGCCTTCCTCCAGAACTTTTTATGAGCCATTACTCTTGGTTCATCTTTATCAGCTCTATTTTTTTTGTCACTAACTGAGAGTTTCAAGTGTCGATATTGAGTAATCAAGAATCTTGAATAGAACCCTAGTGATTATATTTGATTTTATGGCCAAACTCAAAATGTGAACTTGATTAGAAATGTAAGACAAGTGAGATTACATCATCTTTACCCTGATAATAACGGTTCTTGAATCTCTTCCCTGTCAATATCTCTTCTGAATTTTGATTAAAGCTTAACTGAACATTATCTTTGATACTTAATTCACCCAATTCTTTTCATGTTTATCATATATTTTCTCTCTCTCTTTCTTTTCCAGCGTTTTCTTACTAAGGTATGACCGGTAAAGAATGGAAGTAATGTTTTCAAACTTTCGTGGTTATTATAATTTTGAATTTATTTTCTTATAATATTGGATTCGAAACTTTTTCCGCCATTTAAACAAATGAAAAAAAAAGTTCCAACTTTTGCACTTTTTTCTATCTTGTTGTTGTCAATTCTAATGTAACAATAATGATTTTGATGGAAAAAGGTGAAAAATTACAGATAAATGTAGAGAGAGGAGTGAGAGAGAGAGAAAGTGGGTGAGTATGTGGGTTAGTGATGATAATGATGATAAAAATGATGTGAAATATAAAGTATCATTGGGAAATTGTGAAAACTCTTTAAGAGCATCAAGATTGTTAAGATGGAGAAGGGAAAAGAAGCAGAGTGGAAAAAATATCATCGAATTTGGAAAAAAATCGATATTGTCATGGTTTCTTTCTTCCCTGTCATCTTCATCTCATCTGTTGCATATTCTGAGCATGAGTATTTCCCCCCTAAATTTGTGTGTAAATGTGAATGTATTATATCAGGTCTATTTTCAGAGTATTCAGATTGTTCCAGATAAAATTCAATCTATTCCTTGTTATCACCCATTTTCTCCTCGTTCTCTTCCGCATTTCCCCTGACACTTTATCTCATTTCACCTTCTTCTACTCAATCATCATTTATATGCTCCCCTAGCATTTATCTCTCCCTATTTCTCTCTCTCTCTCTCTTTCTTTCTTTGTCTTTTTAATAGTAAAAAATATAACTATGACTCTATTTTAAAATAAGACTCGCGGCAAAATATTACACTTTTTATTTGTATCTTAAATCAAATTTCTCTGAATTTTTATTAGATAATTTTGAGCATCAAATTGGCAAAAAAAATCCAATAATGACAAAGAAAAAATGTTGAGCAATCAGCAGAATTACAGCATTCATTTTGAAATGAATCAGAGAAGTTCAACAGGGAGGAGAAAATGTTCATTTTTATCAATATTCCAGGAAGAAGAGATTTTCTCTTCTTTCTTTTTCTCTGATCATCCTCATCATTTTTACTCTTTCTCATTTTTCTTTTGCTATTTCTCTCTTTGTCAAGATTTTCTTTTTTACCTTTACTTGAATTAATCTCACAGAAGAATGATGGCTAAGCATAGAAAGAGAAATAGACAGAGAAGATGGAAAATTACATGAGAGTTATCATCTTCTCTTCTCCATCTGTCTTCATTCGAGTCTCTCCCTCGAAACAACTCGAGGGTTAAGTCTTACCTTCTCTCTCTCTCTCTCTCTCTCTCTCTCTCTCTTCTTTTTTTCTCTTTCTCTTTGTTAGCATCTTCTCTTATTCTCTTTGTTCAGAGAAATCAAAGAGAGATCATGATGATAGAGCGCATGTGAGTGAGAAAGATGATGAAAAACTAACTGTAAAGAGGAAGAAAAGATGAGAATGAAAGAGAAAATCTTTCATTTAGTTTCTCTCCCAGTGAATGTTGAATTCAACAACATCACCATGATTATCACTCTCATCTTCAGATCATCAAAAGAATACAAATAATTTTTGATAAACTAATCACCAATTTCACCAAACTAATGGTCATCTACAAATGCTAATAGTTGATTGATTGATGGGTGACAGCAAACGAAAAAGAAAAACAATCATTTAAATGACAATTAGTGCAACAATTAACTCAAACTGTATCGAAAGTAAAATGTTTCCCTGTTGATAAAAGAAAATAGTCCAAAGTGAATTGAATTGAAAAAAAGTATTTAAATTGCTAATTGAACATTTTAATTGTCACATTCACATACGAATAGAATAATTAACTCGATATTTTTTTCTATCATTCCTTATATATGTTACACTTTAAATGGATTCCCTGGTTTATCAACACATTGTTATACCACCTACACGACATCATCATCATCATCATCAATTACCGTTAACTTTACCTTATTTTACTCACTCATCATCACCCACTTCATCCTTGGTTAATACACTTTCATCAACTTTATCTTCATCATTATCACCACATCAACATCATCACGCTCATCCATATCTACATCAATATCAACCACATCCTCATCATCATCATCACCATCATCATCACTCCACCATCCATTCACCTTACATTCATTATCCAAACTCAATTTCACCTTCATCACAATCTTCATCATCTTTTCATGAACAATTAAACAAAATATCAACTGATTATAATAACAATAACAACAATAACAATAATAATCAAACAACAATCTCATCTAATTCATCAACTTCATCAATTAACTATCGTGTCAGTTATACTAATCATTTGAATAAGATTATCAGTGGTAAACATCAAAACAAAAGCAACATCAATAATCAAACTAATACTCTCGATAATAACAGTAATACAATTGATAATAGTGATAAATTAATTAATAATATGGATATAATTGATACAAACAATTCTAATTGTAAACAATCAAATGCAACATCGTTAAATTTTATCAATGATTCAGGATCATCAATAGTTTCATCAACATCAACTTCAACCGTTACCTCAACCAAAACCATCAAAACAGTAAAAGTGTGTGAATAATTAATTACAAATTTGCTAATTACAAACAGTACAATTAAATTGTTGACAGTTTCCAATTGATTAACGGAAACATTTTAGCTTAATATTAGTACTTGCATGAAGTTTGATTGTTTGTTGATTGGGATTTTGTTTCGTTTTGTTTTGTTTTGCTTTTTTGTTGTTGATAAGTTTAACTAATATCAATTGTCCACTTGATGTCCAGTGATTTTTTATTATCAATACATTTTCATTTCTAAATTGTTCACCTTTTTCACTTTTACCGTTAGATGAACCGTCCAAGTCAAGTGAAACCCTCGGATTCTGAGGGCCGTGGTGAGGAAAGGAAACTGTTTGTCGGAATGTTATCAAAACAACAATCGGAAGAGGATGTGAGACAATTATTTCAAGCCTATGGGACCATTGAAGAGTGTACAGTACTTCGTGGTCACGATGGTCAGTCAAAGGGTTGTGCATTTGTTAAATTTTCATCACACGGAGAAGCTCAATCGGCGATCAATGGTTTACACGGAAGTCAAACTATGCCAGGAGCTTCTTCCTCTCTGGTAGTTAAATTTGCCGACACGGAAAAAGAGAGACAAATCCGTCGAATGCAACAGGTCGCCGGTAACATGAGTATCTTCAGTCCATTTATGGTCAACACTTTTGGCTCTTATGGAGCCACATATGCCCAACACCATCATGCTCTTATGGCAGCGGCAGTCGCTTCCCAAGGTTATATCAATCCGATGACTGCTTCAGCCGTTTTAACAGCTACTCTACCCCAGGGTCAATTACAAAATGGACTCACAAGTCCGGCCAATTTAACACCAACCTCCGAACCCTGTATTGGTTAGTAATACAATTTGTGAGGACGAAATTCATTTTTTCTCAGCATCGATTCAACACTTTTTCAGTTGTTGATTATCTCTAATCTGTTGATACTCTGCAACAATTAATATGATTTTTTGATACTTTTTCATCTTAGGTTTCGTTGGGCTTGGTGGTAATCCAGCTAATCTTACCAATGGAGTCTCTCATGTCCATTCACATTCTCATCCTCATCCACCAACCTCAGCACCAAGTCCACCAAGTTTTCCAGGCCATGCATGTAATGTGTCCACAGTTCCAACTTCCGCTGTTTCATCAAGCGCTGTTTCAACTGGCGGATCAGGACATTCAGGTGAAGACTCTATTTTTACCAATGCATGTCTTTCTGGTCTATTGCCACCACCACCCACCCACCCTGTTGGTACCATTACAAATGGAGCACCCGGACATGAGTATCTATCACCTTCCTCCGCTTCTGCAGCCCTCGCCGCCGCTGCAACATTTTCCAGCCTTAATCCTCACACACCTTACGCCGGGTTACCTGCTTATCCTTCAGCTGCAGCAGCAGTTTATGCTGGTCAGTTTGCTCAAGGTAAATATTGTAAATGATTAAATAATTTGTTTGCATTTAAGATATTCAATTTCAATGATGAAAAGAAAAGAGACTTTTTTGCTCTTTCTCATCATTGAAATGCCATCTTTTGGAATAGAATACAAGTTATAATGATAATTTCTAATTGTTGATTAATTGTTTAGTTCTAGCAGCACAACAATCTGCAAGTGCCATCGTTGCATCATCGGTGGTACAACGTGAAGGACCCGATGGTTGTAACCTTTTCATTTACCACCTTCCCCAAGAGTTTGGTGACATTGAGCTAATGCAAATGTTTCTTTCCTTTGGTAACGTAATATCAGCTAAAGTTTTCATTGATCGAGCCACTAATCAATCAAAATGCTTTGGCTTTGTGAGCTTTGATAACCCAGATAGTGCCCATAATGCGATACAAGCCATGAACGGTTTCCAGATTGGCATGAAACGCCTTAAGGTTCAATTGAAACGACCAAAAGATGCCAATAGACCTTATTGATAAAACTTATCACAACAAACAAACAAACAAACCAAAAAAGTTATTAAAACAATTGGAAATCGATGGAACCAGAAAACTTAATCGTATTAACCCAAAAATTGAGATCAAAATAAATCCAGAAACAAGTAAACAAGAAGATAATTTTTAATTACCAAGTATTAAAAGTCCTCGAGAAATTAAGTTTAAAAATCGTATCAATATTTTGAAAATTGAACCAAAACAATTATCAAAAATACAAAAGACAATTATTGTCTCAATGAGCCTTTTGCCACATCATCATCATCATCATCATCCCATCAACAGAACCATTATCATCAACATTATCTTCATCTTCATCTTCATTTTCATCTTCATCTTCATCATCGTTATCAATTATCATCTTATCATATGTTACATCCTCATGAGCTCAGGCCAAAAGCAAAACAAAACTACAACCAGAACCAAATTAATTAGCCATTTCTTAACAATTAACTAATAAACTCAAACTCACAAAACTTTAACATCAATAACGATTTAAGTTGAAACAATTAACACTTAAATTAGGATTCACAATAAATAAGAAAACAAACTACAAACTAAATCAAAAAACTTTCACAATTAACAAAAAAAACACTCACACTCTCACACGACATCAACAAAAAACACCAATTAACATATTCAATTAACGCAAACCAAAATAAAACTAAACAATTAAGGATTCAATTTTAATTGCAACAATTGTAATCATGATGATAATAATGATAATAAGATATAAAATACAAGCATACAGATAATTTAACAATTAAAGTTACTTATTGAAATTATTACAATTGAGCTTAAACATGTTCAAGTTTAATGATAATTAATGATATTAATTAAATTTAGAGGCTTCCACAATTAATATTATTGTTATTATTATTACTATTATTGCCATGAATATTATTTACTATTATTATTATACCAACAAATTAACACATAATTATTATCGATCAACAAGTTGAATTGTTGATTCACAACTCTAACAGAAAAAAAAATCATTCAAGTTGATCAAACAATTAAACAGCAACAAAAACAAAATCATCAGATATTATTGATATAATCAAATTGATCCATATTATTATAAAATCAATAATTAATCATTCATCATAATGGTTAACCTACTCGAAACAATTAGCCAACGATTGTGATTAATAATCACAAGAACTAATATTATTGATATAAACAAAAAATATTTTAAAATAAATCGAGAAGAAAAATCTATTTGAAAATTGGTTCCAACTTATTCTTGAAAGTTAATTGTTTCAACATCGTTACTCTATAATGACGGGACTGTGACTTAGAGATGTTCAATCATAGACCATCGGGCGATAACGTCGATCCATCACTCGATCGAGCATATTTACTATTGGCCCGAACTTGATGTTCCTCTCGTACTGACCAGGATTACTTTTGTAACGACAAGTCAACAGTAGGGTAAAACTAACCTGCCTTACGTTACCCTATTAGCGGGTGAACAAACCAGCACTTTGTAAACTCTGCTTGGCAATGATTGGAAGGGACATTAGTTGAATTTTGTTCCACCAGATGGAAGCAGGTGAAGTTAGATTCAAAATCGAGATCAGCAAATGATTAATATGATATTAAATCAATTGTTATATTGATTTAATGAATATTTTCATAAAAAATCAATAAGATGAGTCATCTAATCATCTTGTTTTTTTAAATCTCCACTTCAAATAAAGTATTGAAACTTTAAGTTGACATTTATCTAATTATCATGAACTTTTTTTCTTGTTGATTGTTCACTTGAAACATGTTAAGGATTTAATGACAATATCAACAAGAAGAAGACAATTATACAAATGATTATTTAATTGTTGACAGTTTACAATTTAATCCAAGCTTAATGATGAACAAATAGATGATGATGATGATGAAAACTTTGAGATGAAGAGAAGATGATGAAGAAGAAAAAAAAAACCTGACTGTCCACTTGTGTCCACTCATCATGATCAATGTAACATGAACAGGAACAAACAATCAACCATGATAATAATAACTTAATTTAAAATCAACACCAAAATGATAAACATCATCAAGAGTTAATCAAACGATTATTATCATATAATCATTTGGATATCATGTTACCAGGGTTACTTTTTAAATTCTGTCAACAATCAAGTGAATACGACACTTTGGAATTAAAATTCAAAGATGAAATTAAATATTTCATCATGATGTTTATAAAATAATAATATGAAAGTTCAGTTGAAAAGAGATAAAGGAAAATTTTGACATTCGTCAAAAGAAAAAGAAGAAAAATTTTATTCAACCATCACCAAGAATTCTGGTTAATCTGATGATAATTATTTTCTTTTCTCTTTCAGAGATATTCTTTTCTCTTCAATCTCTAACAAGGCAAATGATGATAATATTATCTTCCTACTTTCTGATGATAAAAGTTTTTTTTTCTCTCTCTCTCTCTCTTTTGATTGATTGATTATGATTAGGATAACATGTTGCCAATCACCAAAGATTCAGGATACATTCAGGGGGATAATCAAATGAAAATAAATTAATGATAATAATAGAAACGATTACAAAGATTAATAAGATAATAATAAGATGATAAACATTTATTATCATTGTTGATGAAATTGAATCAATGATGATAATGAGAGAGAGAGAGAGAGAGAGAGAGAGAGAGAGAGAGAGAGAGAGAGAGAGATCTTTCAAATTCGATAAGAAAAAGTTCTAACTCAAAATAAACACCATTGGTTTGTTATCAATGTCATTGTTGGATAGTCAAGGTTATCATTTTATCATATCAAACTATTCAGACCAATGGTCAATGTCTCTGTGAGAGGTCACTTTGAATAAATTTGGAAAATTAATCTTACCTGTGAAAAAAAATCCACAATCAATTGATTATTCATTCAGATCTTTACTGGTAATCTTAATCTTTTGTGAGTTGTTGCAGTTTTTTTGCTTCATCTTCATCATTTTCATTTACCTTTCTCTTTCTTTCCATCAAATTCAACTCTCTCTCTCTCTCCCTCCCACTTTGGCACACCATGGTGTACTCAGGTAGTAGCCACTGTGATGAGAAATCAAAGATTTCAATCAGCATGAGATTCAAACAGTAGTATCAATAGTTACTCATTTTCACCTCATTCACACCCAGATGAAGATGAGGTAAGATGTTGATTTGGTGATGGAGATGATGATGTGTGGTTACCTTTGCCAATGTGTTCCCCTTGATTGTTTATCATCATCATCTTCTTCATTTGTATCATCTTCCTTAGAGTTCATGGTTGACTTGAAAAAAAAAACTAGAAAGAGACACACAGAAAATGAGATAATCAATTTGATGACGAAAACAAAGAGGCAACTGAAAAGGAAACGGAAATCAATTTATATCTAATTTGAGATTCACTTTATAAGCATTAGAAGTGAGAAAATTAAATAAACAATCAACTGAAACGTTAATTGTTATAAACTTTCAAACAATTTAAACTTGAACACACAGTTATTACAATTGTTAAGAGGCCTTCATCTCAATGGGGAGTTAAATGTCTCACCTACAAACAATTAAACTTGATTTATATTCAATTTAAAAATCAAATACAATTATCAACAATTACACACAACATATCTAACAATTAGATTTAGTAAATTGTTTCTGATTAGTTGCAATTATCAAATTACCCATCATACTGATTGATTATAATACCACTTTTTTTTGTAAATCATCATCATCATCATCATTATCATTACAATCAAGGTGATCACATTATATTTTTTAGGTTCAATTGTTGTGGTCAAAACTTGACCATCCGAGTTAATTGTTGCCAACTTGATTGAGCTAATCAACTTTTTTCTCAATGATTAAAATTTACTATTTTTATCTTAACCCATTGTGATATTAATTAGCTAATAAATTTATATTAGTGTAGGAAAACTCAATCAATTGTTATTGATCATTGATATTAGTGTAACAATTTAGGTTAACTTAATAACAATCAAAAGTTTTTTTTTTCGTTCCAAACAATTGAAAAGATTGAGAAAGTTAATCAAAAACCTCAAATCAATTGATTTAATAATTTATCTTTCAGGTCAATTGAATCAACTATTGGGTCAATAATCTGTTGGTCAGTTGCTTAATATGGACAATAATCCCTCAAGAATTAAATCCGATATTTATAAGGGATAAAAGATGATTAAATGATAATTATGTTTTCACTTAATCATGAGAAGTGATAATTAACCTGAGGTGTTTGATTGAGAAGGTCAAACAATCATAAATCAGGTCAAATTTGTGACAAGCCGGACAATTTAAACTCTAATTAACACTCACAATCAGCAGGGATTAAGATTTATATTAGTTAATCACAATTAGAAACTTTTTCCAATGATCATTGATTGTTTCCCCTTCCCTTTATCTTACCTTTTATATTACACAACTGAATCAATTAATTAATCCAATGACAATTTAAATTGCTGTAAACCTTAATTCAGTTAAAAGATTATTATTATTATTTTCTCATGTTGTAACTTAATCAAATTAGTTTAACAAATTGTTTATATGTGAGTGAATGTTAATTTGGACAAATAAATTTAAGGAAACAAATTAACCTTCAAGGCAATTTAATTAATCAATATTACCTTTTTTAACTTTGTGTTGATTAATCATGATTTACAATGAAATATAATCGTAATAACAATTAAGGTTTGTTATTGAGCAGAAAGAAACTGTTATAACAATTAAGAAGATTAAAAATTTTAATCAACTTTTTAAAATGTTAATAATTAATTTGATTGATTCAATTTTTTGCTTATCTTATAACAATCAAAATGATTATTAACCTTTTTTCAAATTGTTATTATTGTTTTTTTTTGAGATAATTTAAAAGGTGAGTTGATTGTTTGGGCTTGGTTTTGATTGTGATTAATTAAATCAATTGGAGGATTTTTACTTGTTCTTAGGTAATTATTTTGCTCCATTGGAAGGTGTAATTGTAAATTTTCACCTGATTGAATGGCCATTGGTCATCATCAAGTAGTAAATAGTAATTGGTCATTATTAAGCTTATGAGTCCAGTTTATCATTTGAAAAGGTATTAAGATATATATGATGTTGATGGTTGATTAGTCCAGGTAAAGTTAGACTATCATTTGGAAGCAAAAAAAAATAAGCAAATAATTGTTGATGTTTTTTTGTTTGTTTGTTGCCGCTTTGCAATTTCTCACAAGGTTGCAAAGGTAAAGCAAAATGATTGCAATTTTTTTTTGCCAATCACAACAATCAACACAAATTGAAGTAACAATAAAACACACGCAAAGTTTATCTTGAGCTTTTTTTGTAAGGTAGATAAAAAAATCACAGGTAAATTAGTAGCGATAGTAAGATGAGAAAGAGAGAAAGAGAGAGAGAGAGAGAGAGAGAGAGAGAGAGAGAGCAAAAAAAGTTTTCTTAAACTTGTAAGACAAGATGATGATGATGATGAGAGTGAGTGAAGCAAGAAGACTAGAGAGTGAGAGAGAGAGAGGATGATAAGAGGAGAGAAAGAGAATGATAAAATTGGAAAGCAAAGAGACTAATAAATACACTCTAAAAAACTGCTAGAGTATGTTGATGATTACCTGTAGTTCATCAACAATCATCATCATCATCCTCATCATCTTGTTGTTTTTTCTCAGTTGATAATTTAACTTAAGGATCTGACCCAAGGAAAAGTTTACAACGTTAACCTAAAATAATCAATTGTCATTGGTGGCGATTTAAGTGGTCAGCCAAGCAAAAGAAAAGCTGAAAACTGAAGGTACAAGAGCATCAAGACTCTGTGTTGCTCCTGTAACACGCATCCTTGTGGATCACAAATGATAATGATAATGACCTAGGCCTTAGATGTCATTAAATAGATGCTGATGATGAAGAGACAGTTGATACTCCTGATGATGATCATCATCATTTTTATCATCTTTTCTTCATCACGACAAAACGAGGCAGATTGTTTATGTTTATATTATATACCAATCCAAGATTAAGGTAACTAATATTTCTGACCATTTTTTTACTCTTCCTATTTTATCATCATCATCATCAGCCCAGATGATTATGTACCATCATTATATATTTTCTGTTGATAATGATGATTATAATTTCATCTTAATTGTCTCTCTTTCTTTTTTCCTTAATCACCTTAATTGTCTCAAACTTGGCAACAACAATCAACCATTGATACTTTCATCATGAAAAAAAAATGACTTGATTTGTTTTCTTGGGGATGTTGTTGTTTGTTAATTTAGTTTATATTTACTTTGATATATCAAATGTCAATTACATGATTTACAATTAAATCTTGATTAGTTGATAATAGTTGTATAATTAATACAATATAATTATTATGCATATTTACTTGTATAATACAAAAGGATATGATTAATACTTTTTTTTTCATATTAAATTGATTGTTCAATTTAAGTTTAAAATTGGCCAGTTAATTGTTGACATTTAAATCACTTCTATTGTGGTGTTGAAATTAAATTACATTGTTGTTGTTAATTGTTTACAAGTCTGAGTATTCACAGATAAATTTACAGGGATAATTGTGACGATGATGATGATGAATATTTATAAATAAGTATTGGTAAAAAAGTGATGATGATGATTGAAAAAAAAGTGCTTCTTATTGGTCAGTATGTTTGTTGAGTGGTCATTATAATCCAATATGTTGCACAATATGATGATTTATGGTCAATATGTTACACTGAAGTTTCTGAGTTCATTTTGAAAACAAACTTATTACACTTTGGATCAATAATCTCTTCGGTTATATTGAGGTGTGGTATTGATGTAACGGTGACCAGTAAGGAGACATCGTTTTGTCGTAACATGAAAACGGTTCCCGATTCAATGGTTCGTGTTAAAAGGATATCACAAACTAGTCCCCAACTTTGCATGGGTTTAACTTCAGCTGAACTGGACATGACGGGGCGAGGGTTGAAATAAGTTTCAAGGAAAGCTTTAGGTGAAAGGTCATAAGTTAGACAGGTAGATAAATGGTCAACAATCGTTTCCACGTTGTGTCGAGGTTGTTGTCTAGTGACACGAAGAAACTTTTGAAGGGCTCGAGCCATGGCGGGAAATATTGCTTGCGAAGCTTCTTTGGGGTCGATCGGTGATGAAATTGGACCTGAAAAATACGAAGAAAAGAAAAGAGAAACAAATTAGTTTGATTGTCTTCGATTGGTGGTTAAGATTTAATTGTTAACTTGATAATCAGATTAATGGATTTAAAGTCAAACTCGTGGAAAGAAAAACACTCATCAGCTGACTGAAAAATCTATGAAATGAAAATGGTCATTAATTCAGTTGTTTGAAAGTTTAATACAGAAGAGTAGAATGAGAAAAACTTGACTAATATTCAAGGATTAAAAGATTATCCAACAATAACAGAATAACATTAAGAATACATCGAGGTGTGGATAATGAAATTATCTTTGATTCAGATTATATAAGAATAAGATTGTTTTTTGTTCTTTCTCATAATTGGATTAAAATAGAACTCAGAACTGAGTTGAAGCATTTTCTTTCATTATCAGTTTCTAACACTGAAGTTGAGAAGAAGCGAAAAAGTTTCACCATGTTTTGTCAGCTTAGAAACTCAGCTGATAATTAGTTTACATGTTTTATGAGAAAATTCTGACAAGCAATTGATGTTAATCAGAATTGAAAGTAATATATGATAGAGAGTTAATGGTTTCCCTCATGATTAATTTGACTGATGATATATCACATTTTAAGATTAAGGATTTAACAGAGACTGAGAGAGAAAGAGAGAGAGAGAGAGAGAGAGAGAGGATAAGCTAACGGATAATAAAATATTATCATCAATTTGTAATTGGAAAGTGAGAGTTTGAGTTTGATGGATTTGAAAGGAGATAAAAAGATGAAAGGTAGATCTTCAATGAGGACATTTTAGATAATCGATTAACATGAAAAAAGGATAAAATAAAGAGGAGAAACCTGAGAGTTTGTCATATCTAAAATGATTCAATATATGACAAGTTGTTCTTATAAAGAGGTAGAAGATTATATAAAGGTAAGAGTAGATAAGGTTGTTGATTAAAAGGTTAAGAGATGATGTATCTATCATCATCATCACTATTATGACCATGAAAAACAGGATAAGCAAGGTAATCATAGGTAATTGTTAATTTGTCCAAGTTGAAATTACTTAACCGTTTTAAGCTTGTAAAATTTAAATGCTTATAACTTTTAACTTTTGGGTGAATAGGAAATTTTTCATTGAGCAAAAACTAAAGAAAACAACAAGACACAGGACATTGTATTACAGGTAGATGATTATCATCATCAAAGGAGAGAGAGAAAGAGAGAGAGAGAGAGAGAGAGAGAGAGACAAAGGGAGAAAGGGCAACTCTACATAAGCCATAAGGTGGAAATTAATAGTAAGATGAATTTGTAGCGAAAAGAATAAGAAAAACAGGTAATATTCTTGATTCACACTTGGGTGATTATACTACTTTTTTGGGTGAATTAGGACCGGAAGATGAATATGAAAAGAGTGGAGAGATGTAAAGATGGAGGAGGTGAAAGACAAAGTTATTATCATCAAGGTGAATGTGAGGTACACAAAAGTTTCTAGCAAACATCAGGTAATTTACAGTAAGAGAAAAGAGATTTTTCTCTCTCTCTCTCTTTTCTTGTTCTAAATATTACAACAAAAAAGTTCTAAGGTTGGAAAGACAATCAAAATATAACGTAAACTCTTGTGAAGAAAAAAAAAGAGGCTGTTGAATGATGATGTTTATAGTTTGCATTTTAGAAAATGGAATAATATATTTATATAAAGAAAGAGAGAATAGAACAAAAAATAAATTCGGAAGAATGAGCAAAGAAATTGAGAGCCTCACCTTAAGAAAACTCATTTTTTCTTCTCATTCTTTGATTTAGTTTTTCTTGCTTATGAAAATGAATGCACATCTATTATGATTATAAGGTTTATATGAGGCTCAGGAGAGAGAGAGAGAGAGGTGGGAGAGAGAGTTGAATATATATCAAAAAACATATAATAATAATATCTGACATTATACAATTCATATTATCATGAAATGTAAATGAAAGAAAACAGAAAAAGTTCTGAAGGAACAGAAATTCAGTTGATTGCTCTTCGAAAAAAGTAAAACAAAGTTAATGATATAATAGGAAGGAACCAAAAAGTGTGAGTTTAAATTTGAATAATAAGTGAAGAATCAAGGTAAAGTGGAAGATGAGTTTTTGATTGTCAACTTGATTGTTTCAAATAAATGAAGAGGGAGAGAGCGAGAAAGTTCATTATAATCAAAATGAATAATATCAAAATGTATATCATGTTATGGATCAAAGGTAATCAAGTGAGATTATGGTTAAGATTAGTTGGGGAGAATAAAAATTGAAAGTTTCATTTGAATTCACTTTTATATTCAAATTATAAGATATGCATGATGATAATGAAGAGATAGAGAGAGAGAGAGAGAGAGAGAGTGAGAGTGGGAGAGAGAGAGAGAGAGAAATGAAAGACAAAAGATGATGAGAGAGTATTTTCTGTTAGATTGTAAAGGTTCACTGGTTTTTGCATGATTACCTGAACTTTTTATGTTTATTTTATTTCTATTCAATGGTCACTGGTCGCCATCTTGCTAAGTTCACGTGAGGTCTTTTCATCTTTCTCTCTATCTTTCTTTTTATCATCATCTTCCCAAATTATCTTAACTACATCATCATCATCATCTCTGACCAGTCTTTCAATTTTCTCTTTTTTTTCTCTTCATCATCTTTTATTTTTCTGGTAACTTTTTCTATCTCATAACAGATATAAAGAAGATACTAGTTGGCTAAGAGGCAATGAATAAGGGAGAAGGTAAAAGCAGAAAAAAAAGCTCGCCTTCGATGGGGAAGACTAATACCCTCAGGCGAAATCGGATGTTATCATCATCAGGTTTCATCTTCTCTGTTTCATTGAGGTAACATTTTTTTCTACCTTGCCCTCTTTCTCTCCTCATCTTCATCTTTATCATCATCAACTTGATATTTTCTCTCTCTCTCTCTCTCTCTTTATCTTCCTAAAATATTATTACATAAAGTGTTACCCTGAGAAGAAGAAAAATATTCCATGAATGTATTAGATTGGAAAGAGGAGAGTAACCGGTAAATAATATTATTACATGTATATCATCATGAATCTTGCTTGAATTTCAGAACTGATTATAAATGGAAACAAATGAGAAGATGGAAAGAAAATTTTGCTTCTTCATAATCATCATTATCATCATTATCTTCATTAATATGATCATGTTGTTGTTATTATTTTTTTTCTGTGTATTATTATTATTATCATGAAACATTATCCGTAGTTAGATGATAATGTATTACTATTAATGAATGTTCAATGAATTTACTATTAATTCTGATTGAGATACAAAAGTTATAATACCATCAGTTTTGATTAGACTTTTTTTTTCCTCCTTGATTATGGTTAAATCATCAATTGTAATCAAGTTTTGATGATAAATTATCATCGCTGTTAACTGGAAAAGTTAATGGTAAATTATGGCTACCAATAATCAGTTAATTGGTCTCAATGTTATTTAATAGTAAATACATAATATTTAACAATTGGTTATATCTTAATGAGGAAATCAAGTGAATATTAATAATTATCACGATGATGATTAACTATTGTTGATCATCATAAGTACTCAACCATTGATGAACAGGAGTAACTGTTTAAAAGGTTGATGATGATGATGATAATATTTAAATGAATTAATTTTTCTTTTCAACTTTTATCCTTTTGATTAATGTAATAAATTGTTCAGGTGATTTATGCTTAATTATAATTGCATGTTGATTATGATTAAATGCAGCGAAACAGCAAGAAGAAAAAAAAATGGATTCCTAATTATAAGTCAATACAATATGAGCAACAGAAAAACTAAAACTATTACTATTAAATTAATTGTTTCAGGTTAATTGTTGAAACAAATTGAGAGTAAATTGAAAAAAAAGGTAAATAATAATAAGAGTTGAATGGAAAGGTGAAAGTTTCAAACATGATTCATGATGATTGTGAAGACAAAGGAAAACATGAATGAGAGGAAAGAAAAAACTATCCGGATAGAATTGAAATTGAAATTGAAAATGGAGAAAAATGAGAGATAATGAAAAATGAATAGATGATGATGAAGATAATCATGATGTGATTAACTAATATATTATATGTGTAAAGTGAAGGTGATTATCAACAATCGTCATGTTGTTGTGAGAATTGAAATGAATGAATCAATGTTGTTAACATGTAACGTGAGGCACGAGAAGATTACATGAAGAAAAAGAAAACAAGAAACATGGTTTTCTTGTCCATTATAATAGGTAAAGTAACCATGCAACGTTGGCACGAGATGAGGATGCTTAGTTTCAACCATCAACAATCAACTGATTGTTGATGATATGAATATATAACATACGATATTTTTGATTTTAATGTTGGTGTTTTTGTGGAAAATTTTTTGGATTCCCATGAAGAAAAACAAAAAAGGTTATTACATGATAAATCCATTAACTTGATTGTAAGAAATTGTAATTAGTTGGTGACATTATTAAAGAGGAAGAAATTTCGACTTACATGGTTCATCGGCACGTATTCTTTTTATATGAGTAAATGCTTCTTCGGCTGCGGTTAATAGTCTTGCTTTTCTTTTACGAACTCGACGTTCATAATCATGTTCCTCGTAGAAACGATCATTATGATTAGAATGATGATGATTGTTATTAGAAAGATTTTCTCGATTGTGACGAGTTGATCTAACGCCCACTCGAGATCCTCTTTCTTCTAAATTATTAATCTCATCAATTCTCTCGGTGTCATTAATACCATTTACTCCTCGAAGTGTTGATGAACCTTGATGAGGACCAAGGATTAAACTTCCCGGTAATCCAAGAGTATTACCACCAGGTCCAATTGAAGTACCAACTGAACCATTACCGGTAATATGATGATCACCACCGACAATACTACCATTACCAATGATAGTACCATTGGTACCACCACCGCTAGTACCGATACCATCGATATCGTAATATTTTAATGTTGATCCTGGTCCAAGACTATTTAATCCTCGCATTGACTTACCTCTAGACCGACGAGGGGCAAGTTCAAGGTAAGGATTATAAATGGTAAAATCGGAATAATATTTTTCGAGTACAACAACAGCGGCTCTTTGAATGGACAGTTGACCGATAGTGTATGACCTTGCCTCACCATCAGGTGACCGAGTAACTTTAATTATGAAAACAGATTCGGTTGGTTTTAATTTGAGCATAACAACGGCAGCAAAGTGTATCCATAAAAGTACATCAACTATGGAAACGGAAAATTGGACTATCGATTGATAGGTTAATTCATAATCGGAGAAACGACGATCCCAAATTTTTTCAATATAAAACACCCAATAAGCCACCATGAGAAAGGTGAGTAAGGTCATTAAAAGGGCTCGGTAAATATCAATACGGGGCAGGGAGCATCTTGGTGAGGTGAAAAAGGTAATATAAGATAAGATTAAAAGAAGTGCCAATTTAAATAGGCAACTAATTAGTGTACCATCACATTCGGGTCCGCACTCTTTAACTTTCCATTCAAGGGTTTCGATTTGGGGTAAAATGACCATCACAAGAGGTGAGATAAAGGCACATAAAGATAATAGTCCAAGGGTAAATGGTCCACACCAAATTGAACATTTAGTTGACCAATCAGATGAATTCCAAAGATTATTTGATGAACTTGAATTACTAGAAGATGAATTTAAATGATTAGGATGATTACTAGTTGAATTGTGAAATGAATTGATGGCTGATAAATTGTAACCCGATTTACCAATCTTATTGAGATCAACATCAATGGACACTGAACGATCTGAAGTGTTACCCGTTATGGCCGTTGTATTGTCGGCCCAAACATCGTCACCCGGTAAAATGGATACATCGATTGACTCATCATTGTGGTGATGATGGTGATGATGATGATGATGGGAAACATAATTTTGACGACGTCGAGATGATGATGAGTGACCACCACCACCACCACTGGTCAAAGAGTATGGGTTTAATGGATGTTGTTGTTGTTGTTGTTGAGATGAATGGTGGGAAATTTGATGATGAGGTGACTGATGATGGTGTGATGATGATGATGATATTACATGATGAGATGAGTGGTGAGGTTGTTGTTGATGATGGTGAAGATTTGATCCATTTAAAGTTAATCCACTGTTACTTGGTGTTCCCCCACCAAATCCTGATCGGTTAAGTGTTGAATTAAGTTTAACTGAAAGTCTATCATCTCCATTGTTTAATAAAACATCATAAGGTGAACCTGATGATATCCCACCATTGGCAATACCACCGTTAACACTATGGCTTACAACAAGTCCTGAACCAGGTATTGTTGATACATGATATGGTCGATCGGCTCTGGTTGACCGGTGGGATTGACGAGATGAACTACGAGCCGGATTATTTAGGCTTCCAATTAATCCTTGTTGTTGTTGTAATTGGGATTGGGATTGTTGTTGTTGTTGTTGAAGTTGATTAGATGTTGAGATATTTGTATTATTAACACTATTGTAAACTGAATTCACATTACCATTTAATGGGCCATTAACAGAGGCTGTTGAATCACCATTAACATTGTTCACACCATTGTTGTTACCATTGTTATTACCGTTGTAATTATTACTATTAATCCTTGGAGGTGTTGGTCCAGTTGAAGGATAATTATAACAACTCATATTTTAACAATAAATATTTTCTTTTTGAATGTAGAATATTTAAAATGGAGAAAAGAAAATGTTTTAAAAAGAATAGAAAATCAATTGTAATTTAAACATCGTCAGTAGAAAAAAAAGTAAAGTGTTTAGATGGAAAAAGATGAAGACACAATTTTCTCAAACTAATACACAGTTAATCCAATGGTCCAGAAGGAGAATAAGTTAATTAAGTGATTAATTCACAATAAAAAGAAAAGAGAAAAAAAAACAAATCACAATTAAGAAAACAACATTAATCAATTGATGGAAAGAAACACAAATTAGAGGCCAGAAGTTGTTCCTCCTTAGACTTAAATTCAACTGTTGGTTAGTTTAGAGAAAAGAATCAGAAAGAGAAAAACAGTGACACCTAACGGGAGAAAAAGAAAACAATCGAATTGATGAATTTTTTTTTCTTCTATTTGGTTCGATTTTTATTCTTAGAACTTTATGTTTAATTCTATCGTATTAAATGGATAGAAGATTATTAAGCAAATGTTATTTCGAGATTAGTGATGATCTTTTTTTTTCTCTCTCTTTCTTTATCTTTCGAAGCAATGAAAAAATGTATCGATTTATTTTGTGGGTTCTTTTGTTTTTGTTTCTCAAAACAAAAAAGTTTATGTTTATAAGAATATAAATCGAGTTGTGATCGATTTATCGATTTTTCGATTTTATCATCATAACAAAGATGATGAAGAAAAAAAAAGGTAATAAGAAGAAGAAGAAAAAAGGTAAAGGTATATAAGGATAAAGAAGGTAATAAAAAAAAAGAAACTGGTTTCTCTCTGTGATGATGAAAAAGAAACTCGTTTTTCCAGCCTCTTTCTATTTCTCTGTCTTCGTTTTTCATCTTCTCTTTCTTTACTTTCTTCATTCTCACCTTTCCTCTTTCGACAATCTCACGGCTCTTTCTTTCTTCATCCTCTTTCGGTGACTTCTTTCTCCATCATCATCATCATCATCCTCCTCCTCCTTCTCTCTCACTCTCACTCTTACCTGAGAAAATGATTTTTTCCCACAATCTTATGTGATGCATCATAATAATTACGATGATGATAATTGTGAAAGAGAGAAAGAGAGAGAGAGAGAGAGAGAGAGAGAGAAAGGAAAGAAAGAGATAAGAAATTGTCGAAAGAGAAAAAAAGACAGAGGATGATGATGGCGAAGATGAAGCAATAGAAAATACTACCTGGGAAAACGAGTTCTTTTCTTTTATTACCTTCGCTTTTTTTTCTTATAAGTTCTTTATCCTTGTAACATTTACTATCATTTTCTTATTACCTTTTCTCATCTTCCAATTCAGAAGTAACATTTGGTTAATGTCTTAGTAATAGTATTTGATACAATAAGATTTTCATTAATGATAATTGTTTAAGAATGAAAAATGTTATCAAATAGTAACAGAAAAAAAAGTTCAACTTCAATTGTGTTTACTTATTTTCAGTAAATTCAGTTCAGATTTTCATGAGCAATTGTGGGTGTATTTGGATATGAAAATAGTAATAATAATAATAATAAAGTAAAAGATAAATTCTAACCAAGGAAATTGTATTAAATAATAAAACGATAACAATTTAAGGAAAGAGATAATAATAATTTCCATATTAATTGTGGTGTTAATTGTTGATCATGTTTCACCATCAACTCAATTGTAATTTAAATCAGTGTTGATTGTGTGTGTAGCACATTAACAGGATAATCTATTGATTTAGTTGATGAAAGTTACTAGTACGGTAATTGAAGCTTAATCAGCGTTTATTGTAATCAATCGTGAGAGAGTTAATTGTGCAAAAATCAGCACAAATTAAATTGGTAATTTAATTTCTTCCTCTCATTTGATTAACTAAATTGCATTTTCCTCAGAAAAGTTGAAACCTCTGATAATCATCATCATCACTTTGATTATTATCAACAAAATTGTTTACCAGGTAAATGCAATTTACTCATGACCTTTTCATTATGACCTCAAGGTATTTGGCCAATTTGACCTCTACTTTGACCATTGATATACAGTTGATATTATCCCTTATATGTATTGCCATTGAAATTTTGTTCCTCACTAAATTAAATTGTACTAACAATTTGCAACAATTTAAATCAAAAATATCAAACTTTTTATATTAACAATTTTCTAACTCTATACAAACTCAATTTAGATTGAAATTAATTTCAATCGATTTGTAAATTGATTTTATCATTGCATAAACTTGTAATCAAAAGTTAATCAGTTAAAAGTTGATTCAGCTGCAATTTATTGTAAATATTAATCACTGTTAATTTGTAGTTACCAGAAATTAATAACGTGACAATTTAATGATAAACATCAATTGATAAATTTCATAATTTAATTGTACTGACACCTTATGATTAAAGTGTAATGATTAAGATGATTTGAACGAGAAAGAGAGAGAGAAACAAAATTAAATGATTAACATTAACTCTGAACAATTTAACTAACACCTTAATATACCAGTTGATTAAATAATCAGCATTCACAGATTCAATCATCAATGAATAATCATGTTAGGCGTTTGATTAAATCAACTGTAAAGGTAAAAGATTTACTGATTTAGTAAATTGCAACAACAACAATTTAACCTGAGGAAAAAAAGTTATGATTAAACGGGAAGATTGTTATTGAATTTGATGATCAAAATCGAAAACTAATTGTCCTAATATGATGAGAATTTCAAATTCTGACTGAATTTACTCATGAACTTTGTTCAGAATTTTGTTTTCTCAGTGGTCAGTTTTTCCTATTAACTCATTTGATTCATGCTTTGTGTTGGATGTTGAGCTCAATGAATTTCTATTTGGAAATAGTTTCATGGAGAAAAGTTTATCACAATTTTGTTATTTTTTTGTAAAATTGAAAAATTCTTGTTATGATTATGATAACATGGAGAAAACAAAAATGTATCAAAGGTGAAATTCAATATAAAATCATTGAGACTTTTAAGGTGGTCATGAAATAGTTTTTTATCAGGTAAAAAGACACCAAGATAGATGATAAACTGAATTCTGTCAAAAAGATTGATGCTGATGCGATTTAAGATTTTGCTGAGAAGATGAAAGAGAGAGAAAGAAAAATCAACATCTTCTTATCTTATCTTCTCTCTTTCTTTCTCATGTCATTTATCTTCCTCTTTCTAACTACTACACATAAACTTAAGTTCATCTTATGATCATCCTCATCCCAAAGATGAAGATGAAAACAGAGCCAAAAAAAAAGAGTGGAAAGAGAAAAAAAATTTTCTTCTCCAAAATCATTTCTGTAAACATCACATTCACCTTATCCTATTGATTATAATCCATTATTATTACATTTATTTGTGGTACATTATTGTTGATGTTACCATTTTTTTTCCTTCTTATTCTTTGGCTATAACATATCTCATATTTTCATTTGTTGGATGGACAATTAGCTGGACAAAGGTCAACTACCTGGACAGTAACAGTAACTTATTGCAAAGAGAAAAAAGTAGATGACAAGATTACCGATTAAATCTTTGTACATTATCAGATTGAATCCTTGCAAAGGTAAAACATTTTTCCAAGATTTAGATTATTGGACAACAGATCAATTGATTATCATGTTATCACATTTAATCATGTTCATTATTCTTGATTATAATCAAGGGATGCAGAGAGAGAGAGAGAGAGAGAGAGAGAGAGAGAGAGAGCAAAAACACACTCAAGAGATGGAAACTCAATGATAATCAGTAACAAGGTAAACAGATTTAAAAGTAAGATTAATTTTTCTCAATCAATGTTGATGACTTAACTTTTTTCTTCTTAATTTGATTGTTACGATTACTGATTTTCTAAATACGATTTGAACAATTTAATTTTTAGCACATTAATGATGATGCTCATTAGTGAACAGATTAGTGGTTATTTAGTATCATCATTATCATTAATAAGACTGTTAATCTATCTAGAGAGCTGCAAAAATATCATCATGATTATATGAGATTAAGTCAAATTGAAATCTCAAAGTTAATCAATTTAATCTGCTTTTTTTTGCTCTTAGCAATTGATACCTTGTCGCAATATATTTGCAAGTCAATCTTTATTGATTAGTGTCTAGTTAATTACCTGAATTTAATTTGATGCTCTTTTTTTTCTTTGACTATCAAGGTATTAATATGACAACAATAACATGTCATTTGAATTGACACAATCAACGTGCTGTTTATTGATTGTTGGGTTATTGTATTACCTTTTTTTTTGTCTGACATCGTGATGGTTAATGATATTTACACGAGTTACCTTAATGATTACCAGCGTGTATTAATTGCCCGGCAATTGCAATTTAATTCAGAGCACGCGAGTTGTAAAAAAAACTGGGCTTGTCTTTGCATCTAATCATCATCTTTATGTATTGCAATTGATGATAATGATGATTTTGAGAGAGAATGAGGAAAAACAATCGCCTACATCCTTTTAGTTTTCCTTTGATGGACAGAACAAAAAAGTTCTGATTCTTAATTGAGATCAAATTAGTGACCTAGACTTATTGAGAAAGTTTAATGTTCCGTCTGTCCAGTAATTACGATTAAGTGACTCTCCCTATCGATAACTTTTTCATCATTTTCTCTTCCTCATCTTCATTGGATCTCCAATTCTTTGCTCATCTCATAATCATTATATAAAAACTTTGGTTCCTCCTTAATTCACTTAATCATCATCATCTTATTGCTTTGATTTTTACTAATGAGAGTTATATATGGAAGAGGTAAAAGAGTTGTGAATGAGAAGAAGAAGATAAAAGATCATAGAATAAGAAAGAGAGGAAAATAATTCATTCAGAAGACAAGTGGGAGGGAAGAAAATAGAGTAAAAGAGAGAGAAGATGATGATGATGAAGGTAAGGTGAATGATGAAGGAAGAGCAGAAGAAGATGGAGAGAAAGAGAGAGAGGGGGGGAAGAAGGAGCAGAAGCTAATATAAATTAATGTGTTGCAAGCCTCTTTTCTCCCTTAGAATATATTACTTTTTTTCCATCATCATTTTCCTCATCTTCATCTTCATCCTCTTCATTTCATTGGGAGAGTCTCTGTAAGTAGGAGTAAAGAGAGATGAGGATAAAAATGAAGATGAGACTTTAAAGATACATGAAGAATGCAATATAAAAGGAGCTGGAGTCATTTACTGTTCGTTATTATCATTGTTGTTGTTGTTGCTGTTGATATTACCGGAGGAGGAGAGGGTGGTGGTGGTAGTGAGGGTGCCCTTTTTTTGGGAGTGGGAGATTTCATTGGAAAGGTGGAAACCTGTATTAGCTTGAATATCCAGTCAATAAACTGAGAATAAAGTAAACAGG